GTAGAGGGCTCCTTGGAGAACCTAATTTTGTTCTCCCTGATGACGGGTCTTGGGCACAGAGTGGGAGTGCGCAGTGAGTCCTACCCTCCAGGGCTGCCTCTGAAGGCACCTCATTAAAGACACGTCGTCAACGCTAATCCTCCCTGACCGCAGCGGGAGGGAGGGCCTGGGGTGGGGCTGCTGGCCGGCACTTTCGCACTTTGTGCTGTGAACCCCCCTAGGCATTTCACTCCTGTGTTTGCTGATCGCAGCTCCTCCTTCCCACTCCGTTGCGTGCGTAACACCGGCCAGGAACGGTGAGTACCCGGAGCCCTAGACATCTGCTGGGTACTTCGGGGAGTAGCCCGAAGTTAGGAAGGGTGGCCAGCCCTCCCTGGCAGGGGAAAGTACAGGTTACTGGACCCCTGCCTGATGTGTGGCCATCAGGGTGATGAACCAAATATGCAGGAATAAGCATTCCTTTGAGTAAACATTCTATTTGAAAATGAGAGGTTCCTGTTTACATTGCTAACGTGAGACATTTTTAGCCACCCTTGTAAATGAAAAGTTAGACACAAACCTCCCTCCTGCAGCCATCAGTTGGGTGAGCCATTTAACCACTCAGCTTCTCCCATTTCTCAAACAGATAATAATTCTGCGTTGCCTACCTTGCAGGGATGTGGAAATAAAATAATTCACGGGAAAGCTCTTACTAATGGAAAGTGTTATGTGAATGTGTGGCTGGGACATCTACATCAGAGCACCTAATTTTAAAAAGAGAGAGAGAGAAAAGAAAATGACACTGTCTAGTGCCCAGGCCATATAGTATTCAGGCTGATGGGTGAGGCGGGTCCCAAGTGGGAGTGTGGGAGGGGGCACACTCCAGGGGTGGTGCTAGTGGTAGCGTAGGATAAAATCCAGGACCCAGAAAAAGACTGAGAGGCCAGGCTGTGAAAGTGGAAAAGCCACAGTATAATTGGAATACTCTGACCAGCCTTCCTGCAGGTGGTGATGACTTTGGCTGCTTTGGACAACATCCTTGGCCTGACACAGCCCTTACAGAAAGTACTATTCACTTGGTTACTCCAAGATGTATATGCAGCACTCTGGTTGATGGTGAGGTCCAGGAGGAACAAGGGGGGCTCTCACAGGGCTTGCATTTGCTCAGGGGACCCGGGAGTCTTCTCACTCGCCAACTAGTAATTACCTGTCGATCCTTGTGCCAGGCTAGGTGAGAGTCACGCTCTAGCTGGGAAGACACAGCATTCAGACACATGTTAGCAGATGACCCAAGGGCCCAAGATGACAGTACCTGCTTTCAGAGGGGAGAGGCGGCAGCACATTGACAATTCAGAGAGACATTGGACCCAGAGGTGGCAGGCAGGACAGAGATGTGTCAGGGACGCGTCTGGGGCTACCACTGCCAGGGAACCAGCTTGAGTACCCCCACGGAGTCAGGGAGTTGGAAGACTGCTTCCAGGTATAGTGGAGTGCCCCTTTTCTTGGAGAAAAGGGTTTGAAAAATCAGGGAAGTCAGAAGTGGACTGAGGCCAGATCAAGGAGAGCCTTGAAGCTCGATTGTATGACTAGCAAATAAAACTAGTAAATGCCCAGTTAAATTAGAATTTTAGATAAACAATGAACAAGTTTTTAGTATGTGAATGTCCCAGGCACCATTTGGGATAAGCTTACCCTCAAAAACTATCCATCGTTATCTGAAATACCAGTTGAACTGGGCGTCCTGTATCTTCTCTGGCAGCTCTCACTGGAAGGTAGGCCTGGGGATGGAGGACTGCCTCCTGAAACCCTTGAGAAGCTGCAGCAGACGCTGCTGTTGCCCTGCCCGGCATGCCGGTAGCCCAGCCGGTGCTCGCCGCAGCCCTGCTGGACAGCTCCGCTCCATACCCTGAAGGAATCCTCCTGCGCAGTGGCAGTTTGCTTGGCCTCAGCGCAGGCAGGGCTGGAAGTGCTGGGATTGGGGTTGTGCCCTCAGGCGGAACCCTCAGCCAAGGAGGGGTGCAGGTGGGACAGTCCCCCAGCCTCCTTGTTCCCGGAAGGATGCTTCTGATGTGTGTTCTGCAGGAACCCCCAGAGGGTCCAGCAGGGTCCAGCCACAGTTTACCCTCTGGTAGTCCAGTCATTAATGCAGCCTTCCTGGCTGGTCTGGCTTCCCTGCCTCACTTTTCCCACTCCCTGAGATAACCCACTGAACCTGAGTCATTGTCTCTCTGTCTGTTTGGGGGGGAATCTAAACCAAGAAGCAATAAAGGTGATGAAACCAACACTTTGTGAGAATTAGCCTGGTAGAAGTGTCCAAAGTAGAGTCATGGAAAGAGGGGCTTTAGTCAAAGAAACTGATCAAATGCTCTGGTAAAAGTCCAGAGATAAGAGTTTGAGGGCTTGGACTACAGTAAAGATGAAAGAAAGCAAATGAAGGTGAGACGTGGGATGGGTGAGCCTTGGTGTCTGATGAATGGCAAGGGAGATGGAAATTGAGTCGACCTTATGGTTTCAAGATATTCGGTGTAAGGAGCGGTTCTTGGGGAAAGATGGTGAGTCAGTCACAGCCATGGTGGTTTGAGCAGACAGCAGCAAATCCGGGGGAGTCACATCCGTTTCCCCACCCCAGCGCCAGGTGATCACTGGTGCCATTTCCCAGAACATTCGGGATTCTAAGAAGTGGCTCCTGGAAGGCACCGCTGCTTCAGCAGCCCTGTGGGTGGGGTCATTCAGTGGTGTCCAGTGGGGCGCACAGTGATGAGGCCTCCTGGGAACTCTAGAGTCCAAGCGACTTGTCTTTTTACTGAATTGGGTTGTGTCCTTTTGGACACGAGGGGATTCCTCCTCCACCCCCATATCTGGTGCATCAACAGAACCTTGACCAAGGATGTTGGCGAAAATCACAGCAAACCTTCATCCTAGGCTCTGCTTCTCTTCAACCGTCTTTACCTCGCCTTCCTACCAATCGTGCCTGCGGTGCCCTGAGATACGAAAAAGATGAGTCAGTTTTACAGGATACACTAGGGGCTTAGGTAACAGCAGCTAATGGAGACCTACAGTAACTAACTAAGGTCACTTATAAATTGCGTTCTGTTGAAGGGAGAATGGCCCTTGGACCTAATGGAGGATGTAGCCTTGCTTGATTTTAGCCTCTGCTTGGATCACCTTTATGGGAAACCTTCTTGGATCTTGTCAAGGGAAAGAGAGGGAGAGAGAGGATGAGAAGAAAGAGAAAGCCCATGTGCAGACTCCTTTGGGGCTGCGCTGGGCCTTTTCAAGTAGCAGGATGGGCGTAGCGTTCGGAGTCCTGGTGAGCCGGCCCTCGCCTTGGTTCCCTTCCTCAGCTGCCATTCCCAGCGTAAAGCAGGAACAGCAGTGAAAGCGGTGGGACCGCTTTTAGAAAATCCCTCGTTAGACACTAGCTGTGCGTGGCGATCTGCCAGAACCGTGCCCGAGAAGCTGTTGCTGCGAGCAGTGTGGTCTTTCC